TGAAAAGGAATATTGGCGCTTACCTGAATACAAGTAACGAGCTCCGTTCTCTTGTGGCAGCGCTTACTTGTTATGTAGTCATACAGAATAATGTATTTGAAAGAGAAGAAATTCCGCTGTGCAAAAGCTAGTATTTGAAATGGAGCCAGTATTGTGTGTGAGAATCTGATATGTTTGTGGATCGGTGTCGTATGCTAAAATAAATGGGTATTTTTTCTATACAAGTGGAAGAGATGGAGATGTATGAAATGGTGAAAGTTCTGTTCACCAGATTGCCCTAAGCCTCTGCATTTGCCCCTTTTTAGTGACTCCTCATTTGATACACCTGGACCTCTTACAATCCTTACTTGGTGTGCTGTTATGATTGTCCTGATGATACTAGACAAGATGAAGTTATCTTACATTTTCAGTATACTGTAAAAATATAATGTGATTTCTAATCTTCTGTGTGCTTTAAATGCAAAAAGAACCACTAAATACAGTGTCATTGTGTCAGACACTGCATTTTGACATGTCTGTCTAAAATAGAGGTCCTTTACATACTTTGGAAATAACACTGGTGTAGTAATCTCTGGGAATGTCATTTTTATTATTGTTGGCTCTGGGGTTAGCGTGGAGCTCTCAGCTGACGTACTATACATTACAGAAGAATGCTTATGACTCAGCTAACAAAAACCCAGCGAAATGGCTAAATTAAGAACCTCTCTCTTGTGCAGGCTGTTTTTGTGCTTTCTCTTGTTACTGCATGCTGACCTCTCTTATTTCAATGTAACTGTCAGTGCTGTGCAACTGTGTGTGGATACTGGCAAAAGTACACTTCATTAGCATTACGTAAGCAGAAATTCCACTTAAAAAGTACCATTTTCATACCACAAAATGAAGGCAAGAGTTTGTCAGACTTTAAATTACAGATATGTATGGATTAATTCTTTTAAAATTGCAGTGCTATGTCTATGGACTTTTCCTCTGTTACATTCATTTAGCTGTCAGCCTTTACGTGTGCCTGTAATAAGGTTGCAATTGTAGTGTCTGTTTTCATTGTAGAGCAAAGGCCAGGCATCTTGCAGAGCTTCAAATGTATTTTTCATCATAATGCTGTTTTTAAAACAAACAGGAAAAAAGATAATAATAGCAGAAGAAAATGAATAGGTGAAAACAGCATAATGAATAACTTTAGGGTAAAGCTATAAGCTTGTAAAATTATTGATAGGTAACTGAGGAGTCGTCCTATTTGCTGGCTAAAATGTCAAGCCTCACTATGTACAGGGTCCTAGAAAAAGCAAAGGACAAGTGCTAGAACCTGAGGATTTTGTTTTTCCCTTCAGATGCTTTGGGTCTTAAGTTTTGTCAGCTGGAGATCTTGCGAGTGTATGTCTCAATGTTAAAACAGACCCAGATCAAAAGTAGTTGGTTTATTTCTTTCAGCTTCATGTGCTGTCACCTGCTAAGACATTAATTTAATTTTACATTTTCTTGACGGTCTGACAGTGCTAAGGAACTTGGAGGAAATCCTGCTGTTGGGGCTAAGAAGTGAATGTCAACTAAAGAAGTCAATTGACAATTGACTAAAGACATAGTCAATGACATAGTCAAGAAGACATTGCCTCATTTCATGCACTTAGTGACTTTTTAACAGTGTGTCCCCAGTTCTTTCCTGTATGAAGATGGCTTTGTTAGGATGGGTGTCATAAAATCCTCACTGGGGACCAAATCACTGTAGGAGTCTCCAGGAAGGAGAAACTAATCTAAAGGCTGAGCAGACCTCTCCCTGCAGCGGGGTCATCTCTGCACAGTGTCCCCTCGTGCGGGATGGCAGCAGCTGGCAGCATCACGATAGACCCTTGGGGCTTCCTTGAGGTCACCACGCTTGCATGAGGTGCTCGAGTCCAAGGGCTACGCGGTCGCACCTCTCTAACCTGCACCCGAACTCGTGCTCTGCTCTCTGAGCAGCAGTTAAGGCTTCGGTCTGGGCCTTCTGGTACTTTGCCAGCAAAATAATATTGATCACTTTCTGGTCTATCACTACTGCATAGATTTTCAAGAGAAAGAAAGAAAGAAAGAAAACAAAAGTGTATTTATCACTGTGTACTCCACTTCCAAGAAAAAATGATGCATCTGTTTTTTTCTTTTCCTATAGGAGTGCAGGATCCTCAACATGAAAAGATCATTACTGTGACTACTAATGGAAGTATTCACAGCCCCAAGTTCCCACACACGTACCCGCGCAACACCGTGCTAGTGTGGAGATTAGTGGCAGTAGAGGAAAACGTATGGATACAGCTTACTTTTGATGAAAGATTTGGGCTTGAAGACCCAGAAGATGACATTTGCAAGTAAGTCACTTTTAACGTATGAAGCATCTGAAAGGGAGATGCAGATGATGAAAAAATAACGTTGCTCAGCTTTGGCAAAATATGGCACCTGCTTGTAAATATATTCATAAAATGCGTCTTTAAATGTGTTTGTTTCTGAACACTTTCCTAGTGCTAGGAAATAATTCCATAATTGAAACCTTGGGAGTCCCTCCATGAGGGCCCTAGAGATACAAAAATGTAGAAATAATTCATCATTCCCCCTTCCACCCTCCCACCCCGAGTTTTGACAACTGGGAACACGTCTTTAATCTCCTTGTCAGGGTGTTAGAGGGATGAATGTTGGAGTCTGCAGGGGAAATGTGGGTAAACATGTTACGGGAACTGGCAGTCAGGTCAAGACAGAGCACATCATTGTTATTCAAACAAAACCATGATACAATCCTTTAGTGGCCTGTAATGCCCAAGTTTTCAATTTTCTGTGAAAAACAGCTCTTGCAAAGAACTTTACATTCTTCAGTAGCATTTTTGTTTTGTTTAGTTTTTTGTTTCGTTTTTCATGAGATTTCGGTACAGATTTTGTCTGCTTAAGCACCGGCCCATTTTCTGTAGAATCTTTATGTCCTTCCTGACACAACGGGCGCAGGAGGGGTGGCAGGAGGGGCCGCCACCGCTTTGCAAGGGCTAAAGGGGGCAGGTGCTGAACCCCTGTGGCCTGTTCCTACCATCGGAGCAGTGTTTCCTAAAAAGCCCCATGCACAAATACTGGTGCGTTGTCTGGGCGCTTTGAGCAACAAATAGAATGTGTCGTTTGAATGGTACATCCCGCTCTAAGTGTTCTTGGACAGGTATTTCACACAGGGCTTTTCTCTGAGCATTTTGGTTTGTTTCATTTTTATGCATCTCTTGATGCTTGATTTCTTTTTTTTTATTGATCTTTTGTTCTTTGTATGTCTCCTTGTAACACTTTTCAGTTACAAATTTGAACTTCTTAGAGATTATTTTTCGATTTACCCTTAATTTGGGGAGTGAGGCTCATAGTAGATACACAAGTATCAGTCTTTCATGCTTCCGAAGGAGGTAATTATCAAGACCATGGCAAATATAATAAAATAAGAAGTAGTGCACAGAATATGTTTACTCAAATAAATGTGCTCCCTTTGCACAATAAATCTTTTCTTTTGAGAGAAACCTCAGCTTGCTTTTTCTTTTCTTTGCCTGTGGCAGACTGAAGTGGCAAAAGCAAGAAAGTCCAGGTAGGGTGCCTCAATCATCCGCTTGCAAAGAAATAGTAAGATAAGTTAAAATATTTCTAATCTTATAGCTTGAATAGTATTTTAATGGGAGTACATTTATTTTAAGTAAACAAGGTGCTGAATACAAAAATCCTAATCAAAACGGTCCCTTTACGTCGGTCATAATCTTTTTGTGCTGACATTTGTGCCTGGAAACCAGGAAGTTGCACGCAGACAATTCCTGGTGCCTCGTGTGTACCTTGGAGCACTGGCCGTGAGGTTGCCGGCCCTGCACACAGGGCTCTGGAGAACATGAGTTCTGTGGTTGTCCAGCTGCCTCCACAAGTGCAGAGTTTAACTGTGTAAAACCTCTCCACACGGGCAGAGTCATTTCCTGACTTGTCAGAATAATATCTTCTTATAACAATTGCGCTCTAATGTTTCTTAGAGCTTCTAGTTCTTAAGAAAATTATTCCATCTTCTTTCCAGTACCACCTATAGCAAATCTAAGGTTTTTATTACTATATTCCATAATAGTTATTACTTTGCCCTATTCCTTCCGTTTCAAAGTGCACAACTTGTTGCCATAGAATAGAATACATTGCAGTTTCTCCATAGTCAAATTTATGGGAAAGAACAGAATAAGATGTGACATGAAATATAGTGTTGCTGGCTTAACTATAGGATGAGCACAGCAACGAGGGACCTGACTCCTTAATTCTAATCTGTGGCTGAACCTGGGTGAAGGTTTCAGCCTGGTAACAATGCTCTTTTCAGCAGGGTGCATTCTGAGGTCTTTCGCACACTGTCCCCGTGTGCAGCAGGACCCGATGAGTTACCCGTGCTGGTCACAGTCACGTTTTCTGTCGGTTCTTCCACCTGCATGTCCTGCACGTTGCGAGGCGCCTTCTCTATAGTCACTGCAGCCTGCAGCAGCCTGCAGTGTCAGACTGATTGCAAAATACACTGGAGGAGTTCAGGGCAATCAGCAGCTTTTACGTCTCGGAACCACCGAGCATTGCTCGTGCAGGGGAAAAATTCATTCTGCTATATAAAAGATTTAATGCTTCATGCAGTTCTGAGGAGGAAATGCCCTAGATGCACACTTAATGCTTTGGCACACTTTGGTTTCCCTCTGTGCCTAGAAGCTAGCATCTGACTGACTAGTTTTACCTCCACGTCTGGATTTCTCCTTAGCAAGCTCAGATAATTCAGCTATTTTGTGAAGTTTTTTATTCTAGAGTAGGCACTAAATTATGCACCTGTCTTGAAGGTACCAGTCCAGTCTCTGCTTTAAGCCCTTTCCTGAATCCCAATCAGAGTGATCCTGCGTGACTCCTGGAGACAGGGAATGTCCCTGCTCCTGATGCAGCCCTGCTCGGAGCAGGGGTTGGCGTCCCCGTCCTCCTGGGATCCCCTTCCTCATCCTCACCAGGATTGCGCAGTTGCTGTGAAGCCTCTTTGGAAAACAAAGTTGAAATTGTGGGATTTTAGAACAAACCTCTCGCTTTTCGGCCTTAATTGCTCCCCATTTTACAACTGCAATGCACTTGGAATTTCTGCAGGTCATCTCAGCATTGCTTAGCGTGTAGCTATTGCCTGTCTGAAGAAAAGCTCTCCTCCATCTCCACCGGCTCCTTTCTGTAGGTGAGATTGCGAGGATCCAACTGTTTCCTTTAAAAAGTGAGCATAAACTGTAGTTTATGTGGCAGCTGGATCCATGTAAGGAGTTCAGAAGAGATTTAGGTCATTTCACTGGCAATACGATGTAAAAATCTCTGTAAGGTTGCAGTGATTTCAAACTCGTATACTTTGATTTCAGTTGTGATTTGGGAGCTGCTCTCGGTCAGAAAAACACCGGTTCAACTTTCCCCCATGAAGAACACGCACACTGCGTTCATGTTTAACAGGGGGGCTCCTGTGGTGATTAGCTTGTTTGTTGAAGTGTTACTTCATCCAGATAGAAACTACATAAAAATAGAAATAAAGTAGAAACAAATAAAATTAAAAAATAGCCCGCTGTGTTATATTAGTAATGTATGTGTGTCAAACTTGCTCTCTCCTTGTGCTGCCTATAGTTCTTTCTCTTAGTGATGATGGCAGCTGGTTCTTCTATTTGTCAGGTGATTACAGGCTATATGACTTTTACTGTATGTAATAAAACTTAGAAATGTGCGACAAATCCAAAGTACAATTACTTTAGATAAGATTGTGAGGACAATACACAAGTTAGAGAAGGTGAAACCACCCAGTTATCAAGTAATAGATGTAATTTAAACATCATCTTGATTGTAGAACAGTTATACTTATTCCCAACTCTCTTCAGTCCTCCAGTAATTTAAAGTATGGCCTGCTTGTTTGTTTTGTGGTTTTAGCAGCTGAATATGTGAATCTCTTGATTTAGTAAATACCAGTGAAGTGTTTAGGTATAATGTTTTTCCCTTGTATTCTACCATCTGTTTGCATCCATTTGTTGTATTGTTGGCCTGACAGTATGTTAGTAAACTACTCAAAGCAGAAGCTCACTTTTTATTGTATGTTTATATAGCTCCTGGCAGAAGTGAAGGCCCCGTACAGTTCTTAAGTGAAATGGTAATAAGTGCAGTAAAGTGAAGTTGGCAGCACATTCTGTTTGCTGATGTTCGCTTTTTAACCCAATCTAGCAAAATGACTTCCCTTCAATTTGAGCTCAGTCATGAGACAGCCAAGATTTGAAATTATTATTTTAGCCCAATTATTATTTGTTGCAAAAATATATAACCAATATTCATTATGAATAGTAACTGTGAGTATAGATACCTGTGTATATAGAAACATGTAAACATATTGACATATACATGCATATACAGTGACTACATAAGTAATAGTAACTATATATGTATGTGTAGCAACTGCAATAGGTGTAGTTCATATATATGTATAGTTTTTATGCATACTGTATATATTAACTAGAAACTTGTGTTCTGGAAAATACATGAATTAAATGTAGTGAAGACAGTACTATAGATTTCAGGATTAGTATAATATCAAATTTTTGGCTTAAAAAAAAAGGAAACAAAAGAAATACACACACACACACATACACATATATAGAGCAGACCATAAACCAAAAGCTTGAATAGTCATATTTTGTGTTCCTAATGAATGTATGGTTAGGAAATTGCTGATAAAGGTTAAACAGTTCTAAGATTTGGCTCAGTCCGACAAGGCTGACAAGTAAATTAAAAAGAAACTCACAAACACTGATTTTGTCAGTATCTAGGAAAAAGGAAAAGATTTGCTTAGCTGTCTGTCTTGACATAAGTTATGTCAGATGCATGCTATGCAGTGGTGACTTACGGTAAACACAATAAAAAGATGAGACATTTGTTATGTAATTTTTAAAGCGCTTTCCCTGTAATCTAAATCATGATGAATAACTTATGGCATATGAAACTGCCTTGTAATTAGATATATAGATATATAACTGCAGGACCTACAAGCTGCTGTATAAATAGTGATGGATATTTCGATTCTGTTTAGCCTCCTGTCATAAACGGACCTAACCATGTGAACAGCATACACATGGAAAAACAATATAACATACATAGAAAAACAGTATACCCACATACGCCAAAAAAAAAAACATCATCTTTAAATTTCAGAACCTATAGGAGGAAATAAAATGTTTGTTTTGCTTTGTTCTGCCTGGAGTGTATGATAGAAGCAATATTCATGCATATGGTTAGAACATACTGCTATCAAGCATGGATTCATAAAAATGTATATAAATCTTCATGCAAAGTA